TCTCGAAGGGTTCAAGCCTTTGACCGTCAGCAAAGCAAAGCCGGAGAGCGAAAAGTTCTTTAGCGTCATTATGGGATTTGGAAACCCCAAGCCCCGCAACATTGAGAAGGATGTCAAGGTCTTTCGGTGGGCAGACTTGACACTAGCGCTTGTCAAGATATTCAGCAAGTACAGTGCCACGGAACCAGAGGGCTCTCCAAGGATCCGGGCTGACACACCAGGCGCTCTTGGCGCCGGCCCATACACATCAATGTCCCCATCGGTTTCTTCGGCCCTTTCCACGGAAGGAATGACATCTGGCAGCTACGGCGGGCACTCTCATCATCATGTCGACGCATTATCAAGCCCACGGACGCTCACTTCGGGCACAGCATGGCCAAGCTATGGAACTTCTTCCCATAAAGCTCTTTCCCCGACAATGAAGACGTCTTCTCCAATTCCCACCTCGAGCCTGCGCATGTCAACGTTACCAGCCGTCTATGACCATCGAAACGGTGGCCAGGATCTTGTGTCTACTTATGGACTGCCTGGTCCATCGAACCACAATCACCACGGGGGCCAAGGTAGCTATGGACATTCGGCAAACCCTGTTTCAAGGCAAACGAGAAGTTGGGAAAGCTACTCCATCACTGATGGGTACGCCCCACAGTCCAGCAACCCCCACGGCGGAGTTTATGGCAATGCCGGTGCATACGGGGATGGTGCGCAACGAGCATAACACGGGTGACCACTTGAATGTTCAAGTGTGGTTGCCTCGAGTGCTCGCGCAACTGCGCAGCAGACAGCCGGCTGGCAGTGGTGCGGATGGATTAATACAAGACTAAAGTCATGGTGTGAGGGCGTCATGAGTCTATAACCGGGCGGCAAATGGCTGGGCATCATGAGTCACTTCTTTCAGCCGATGTGTGTAAAGACATACATACCTGTTTAAATATATTCGGAAACTCGCTTCACTGTCCGAGCGGGAGGACCCAAGATACCCATGGAATCAAGATAAGGAAAACGAGTCTGGAAATACTCATCTTTGACCAAGAATGGAGGTCCTACAAACTGGGGCAGAACGATGGGATGGAGTGGGCCGTTTGGGATGGAGTGGTCATCTGGTTCATGGGACAGCCAATCAACATCAAATCCTACCCTCCTTCCTATCCGCTAGGCACGTCCCGAGGTCTTCAAGTCTGCACCATCTCAAACTCTCCGACCCGCATGCCATGGGCAGATCCCTGTGATGTTTGAGAATCAATCTTGGATTTACATCTGGGCGATGCAACACGGCAGTGACACCGTTACGTTTTTGGCGACGGGTTGCATGAGGGGGTGGCCGCATCTTTCGTAATCCTCCCCCACTACATCCGCCAAGACAGATATCTTTCATCGTCAAAGACGACTCGTTCATCGGCCGCAGCACTTGATGATTGAATTGGACGCGCGGGCAACACGCGGAGCTAACGACTGAAAACCACACTCGACTGCCTCTTCCGGACCACCATTATTCCCCGCGCACAAAATGTGCTCCGGGGGGACCTATCATACTGCCTAGCATGGGAGTCAATCCTGCAACCACTCGGCACACTTACTCTTACTTCCGGGACCACATTTCCAGACCACACTTGATCACCGTAGACACACCACACCCACCCTCATGCTCAGCCTTGATCATACCTGCCTATCATGTGAAAGCTTTTGGTTACCAACTGCCGGGCTTGGCAGATTCTGTCACTTTTCATCATCTCACACACCCTTACAAACTGCTTCACACACCCTGATGATAGGGACCTTTCCTCCCTCCGCACAAACAGAGAGGCAACGTTGAACAGAGAAACAATACGAGCCCCACCGACCGTTTGATGGGAATTTTTGGTCACAACTCCCCGGTCGATTCGCCACATATTCGTATTTTTGCCTCAAACGATCAGGCTGCTGCTACTCAGAGCCTGCCGAGCAATTTGCGTACTTGCGCAATCTTTTCACTAATACCCACTACGCCCGGTGTGGTAATGCATATCATGCGTGGCAAATGTTATTGGTCCGTTAATGTTTACACTCTATCCTTATCTTTTCTTTGTTTTGGACTTTTTGGCTTGGCTCGGGGTTGGAATTTTCACTCTGGTGGTTTACCTAAAATTGTGATGGAAATGGAATTTTTTTGGTAACAAGCAGGCATTATTTATTATTTTTTTTGTTTTTTGTTTTTGGCAAGGCAAACTTGGTTGGGTAGACAGACAGACACCCTTGTTTTTGGTTTGATGGAGTTGTCGGTTTTTTAACGTATTTTGGTTTTGTTTTCTGTTGGAGGATTTAATATTTTTTTTTTATCTTTGGGAGTTTTTTGCTTTTCTTTTCTTTTCTTTTTTTTTTTTTGCCTTTTGGTGTTTTTGGCATATTATTGGCTTGGATTGTTTTTTTAAAGTTTGGAAATATTATTATTTTGCAGTTCAGCGAGATGTTGACATGTTTTGAAGTGGCTGTGCTGCGGAAAGGATCCTTTTGCTCTTGTTTTTTGCGCACAACGTTTAAACAGATGATGGAAAAACATTATTTATTATACCCTTCCCTATTGGTAGCAAGATTCTATTAGGGATTAATTCCAAGTTTGGTAAAATTTAATTCCTTTCCTTATTTTGAGTCGGCGTTTTCATGTGAATTAATTACAGGCAGACAGCAAGGCGGAACAAGGAAGATAACCCCTGACGACTGCTTGCAACACTACCAAACCACTGGTTGTAACGCTGCTGGAATATGACCTGAGCATACTCCAGGAGCAGTTTACTACCCATAAACCAATCACACAATCTGAATCCAATGGTTGACTTCTTGCCATATCATGAAATGCTTTCCCTCACTGTTTCGAAATACTTGACCTTTGAGGCAAGATTCTTTTGTAAAGACACACACACACTCTAATTGAAATATGCACGATACCTGTGCCATATGCTCACAAAATCTGCGGTCGTGGACTTCTTTTGTATCTTGCGTGACACCCTTGACCGCGATCTATCTTGAAACAAAAATTGGCTGGGTTAGGGTTATACCCGAGGATTGCAACACTGACTGACCCTTTAATATTTGCCAACGGGATAGGGGTTAGCATTAATGCCTATTTAAATTAAGAAAAGGTGTTTCTGAATGAAAATAGAGATTTACTTGAAATTTAAAGACCGTTGTAAGAATTTATAACAAGTTAATGAAAATAAAGAGCCCTTGTTCAAAGCAAAAATGCCGGTTTTCTCCCTCTTTTTTTCTTTTTTTGTCTCAAAAACGGCTTTTGGAAAAAAGATATATAAGAAAGCTAATGATCAACGTTTTATTTGAAGAGAGATAATGAAACCCTTTGGATTTGAATTTCATCCTGGACGCTGACACACAAAAAACCCGCCACCCCAGCCTACCTAGAGACACCACAGTTAACTCATGGCTTATAAGCCAAGAAACCTCTCAGTTAAACAGAGACTTACAAAAGTGTTTGGTGGCCAGCAAAAAAAGAGAAAAAAAACCACTGGTGATGGGTAAAAAGTTGCCAAAACGAATGAAGGAAAATATCGCTATAAGTAGGGTGGTTCCAGTCATACTCTCAATTAATATACCTCTAGTAACGACGTCAATATCAACCCACACGTCGCACGCTCTGTTTGTTGTGTCCCAACTTGTGCCTTCTCCTCCTGACTGACAGTAGATAACTCTACCTCTGATAATGATTCCAAGATCTTTGGTACCGCCTCCTCCTTCTCCTCCTCCTCCTCCTTTTGCGGTATCCTGCCATAGTTATAATACCCCGGATGAGGCAACCTCGGCACCCTTTCCAACTTCCGTCTGCAACACGAAAGCACTATCCAAACAACAACTACAATGCAAACCGGGATCACCACCATAAACAGGGATATCACCACGATATACTCCACAGACTTGACTTTTGGGCTGGTGAGATTGCCGGCGATTATAAGCCCGAGATTGAAAATCACTCCGGCGTAGAAAAGAGAGTATGTGGCGTTTCTCAGATGATTATCGAATATTCCGGGTTCGTTATCGGCAAAGATGCGCAGACATGTAGGGATTCGCAATCGGTTTTGTATTTTGCGGCCGGTTTAGACGCTGAACTCTCGTCGCTCCACTATGTGTCTCTCGATGAGAAGCATGACTGAAGCGACTAGCAACCTGGCGATGAGTTCACGTAGGAGGTGAAAGATGCATTCGCCTAAGCAGTCCTCGGCGTCGCCCATTCTTCTTAACTTTTGTTTGTGTTGATCCCGAGGGCGTGTTTGGTTATTGGAGATGAAAAAAGGAAAACCTGTGGGGGAAAACAAAAAGTGCAAAGAAGTCTCCATCAAAAGTGACAATTTTCAGCTGAATAAAAGTTTGGTTTCAGCAGCCACAGCGCTCTAAAATATGAAAGCTTGACCATGGGAAAAAAGGGTTGAACTGAACCAAAGTATCCAAGTGGCATCAGCTTTGCGCTGTTTACCTCTGGTGGTGGCAGGAGTGCTTGGAAATACCACGCCAGCCCATTGACGAAAACAAGCTGCAAGATAAAACAAACAAGGATAAATAGACCATTGGGCTGCTCCGGGCAGTTTGGATAAAATATATTGATACATTGTATCCCTTGAAATGATGCTGTTTACTGCAAAGAGAAGGAACGGGCACGGAGCTGTACCGGGTCTGGCAAGGAAATAGCCAGATTCAAGGAGAGTCAGAGGCAAATCGAAAAGGAAGAGCTCGACCTATATCTCCGCCGTTTGAATGTTTGTTTGGGTGATACCGAATGGGGAAAATTATTTTTGAATTATAAAAGACCGGTTCAAATAATAACAGGCTTGATGAAAATAAAACAGATCTTTTAGAATATGAAGAAACCTTTAACGTTATATATATATATATATATATATTTACCTTCTGCTGCAATTTCTATCTTGTTCCAGAGTCTGAATTTCTTAAACACACACCCCAACGATCCACACTGCTGAAACAAAAAATAAAGCCAAAAAAGTATAAAAAAACGAAACTGGACAATACCGGATTCAAACCGGTGACCGTTTACAACGTTGGTTTGGAACTTGCGAAGCGAAAATCATACCCCTAGACCAATTGCCCGTTTTCTGTTTCGATGTTTGGCATGTTCAGAAATTGCATTCATTAGACAACACAACACACCGGTCACCGGGATGGCCGAAACCTTTATCACATTTCTTCTTTTAATCATATTGTGAAATACGAAAAAGTGACCATCTTTATTTTAGTCCAATATGATTGTGATCGACCGAATAGAGAAAACGACATTTCATGCATTTTTGTGTGTATCGTGGAATTTTGACAAAAGGAGGCAACTTTTGCCCTACCCAAAAGGAGGAGGTACGGGATGTTCCCGGACAAGCCGACGGGTTCAATTAATTGTAAATAGGAAAGTGAAAGGTTACTTAAGGTTGTGCCTCATAAGCTGCAAGTCAGGTAGTGTTTAATGTTGTGTGTTTGTGTTGTGAGTGATTTTTCTTGGGAGGCAGATTATGGGATGACGCATGTGAATGTAGTTGATGTAGAGGTACATAGAGAGGGAGCCTGAGGGTTTGTGCTCGTGTTGAGTTGAACCGGAGAGACCGTGGGTTGAACGGTCGCTGTGGAACGGTGCCAGTTGATTTAGTTGGAAGTCGTGGAACATAAGTGACGTGGGATTGAAATTCCATTTTCGTGTTGCTGGTGGATGTCAGTGGACGGGTTCGTGCAGATTGCGGATTCGGTGAATGTGTGGTGATGCTTTTGGTTTGATTCGGGGTGTGGAGTTGTTTGCCCGAGGAGAGAATGGTCAAGTGCTGTGTGGGATGTCTTGTTAAGGAGCTACGGAAGCTTTGAAGAGAGATGAAGTTTTCACCGTTGTGTTGGATGGCGTCATGGTCTCAAGTTCAATATTAGGGCAGATTTATTTTTATGCAGAATTTGACCCAAGTATCTTCTCGTCGTTCATGTCAAGGTTGTTGATTGTTTACTCTGATGCCAAGACATCGTCGAGCCTTCATTGGTGTGTGCTGAATGTAAGTGGCCTGAGTAAGGTACCTGTAGGCTTACCTCAGGCGTGCTTGGCTTAATAAGTATCTGATTGGCTAGCCGCATGAAGTCGACGTCGCAGATGCCTGAAAGTCTGACTTGTTTTTACCCCGCCCGCTCGAGATGATGCGTGATCAATTCCAGGCATGACTGCGTGTCGAAATCTTCAAGTTGCCTTCCTTAACTAATCTCTTGGAACACAACCACCTGCTCACTCCAGTCTACAGCTAGACTGACCGAAATGTCTAACCATTCGGTTCATTCCAACACTGATAGCGTGAGCATTGCCTATTCGGACGAGTCACCCCCACATCTACCAAGTCAATACATTGACGGTATTCGTCCCGTGGTTGGCGAGGAACTGCAAAGGTATTTAACACGACACCAAGATGGTCAATTCACTTTTCACCACAAAACTCCATTTACACGCGTTGGTGTCATGGATTGGAAATCTGGGCGTGCGGATTTCCGTTTGAGGCAGTTCAACATGATTTCGTTGGATCGGACAAGATTTGAAGGGCGAGACAAATTCACAAACTGGCAATTAGCATCTGCAGCTCAGATCCCGGCAACCGAGGAGAACCTTCATAACTGTTTGCTCAGGATGAATGGTGTTCAGGGCAGGGTCATTCTGTTGGAACGGATGACATCTGAGGTGATGGAAATCCTGGGATCTGTCTACAAAATTGACCCTCAGTTCTGGGCCCAGCACTATTTGAACAGGCCAGTGAGTCCTGGTTGTGGGAAACATCACAGCAACCAAAGCCATTTTTCACCGTCAGATGGTGCCAGCCTGTTTCTTTCGACATTAAAAACCCGCCATGGGAAATCACAGGCACCTCCAGACGCCGGTTCAAGTACATGACATATAACAACAACCCGACTCAGCTTTTGGAATGGTTTAGGAGTAGCCTCCACGTCTATATTACATCCGAAGGCTCCCTTCAAGCACTTTGGCGGACGTTGCGGCCATTATATCATTCGCTTCATGATGATAATGATGATGATCATGGTCGATTGCCCTGTCGCGTTCCGGCAGGGTTTGATCAATGCGCTCAGTATACTTTCATCAGTCCAATACCGGTAAGCTGAGAGTTTTTTTTTTTTAACTTTTCAGTCACTCGGATATGCTAAGAGATACTGTGTCAGAGTTATCGTGCTTGTGGACCCTTGCCCATTGAGAATCCCCGATAAGCCTCCTCTCATTCCGGAAACAAGGCTCTTTAACGATAGGCCATTCGCCCCTCGCAGAAATTTACATCACAATCAGAAGGAGAGGTGGACTCTCGATGATCTATGGGACTCGATAAAAGAAAATCATGACTTGACCCCACGCACGGTTGTTTGGTCAATCCTCGAGTTATTTCAGCGTGACTTGATTGCAATCTCTTCAAGAAGCCAAGTTTTGACCGCAGGGATCAGACAGGGTATGAGGAACCAGGCCGTAGTCGAGCAAAACTTGAGGACTAAAAGCTGAGAACACGCTCTTTCAAATTTGTCTGAGCTGTCTCCTGCTCACAAACATGCAATCAATACGTTTGCCATGGCACTGTCGGCTCTAGAGCCCCCGGAAAAGTTTACTTTTGAGTTTTTTGAGGGTCTTTCGGTCAACTGGGCGGACAAGAGTCGGCTGTTCTCCTCCTCTGCCTTTTAAATTGACCGAATGCTCCAAGTGCTCACCGAAACATCTCAGGAAGTGGCCAAAACCCAGGCTGCCTTCGAGTCGCGGATCGCCCTCGCAGAGCGGCAGCACCAGCTACACGAGTCAAAGATAATGAAGAGACTCACAGAACTGGCCTTTATCTTTATTCCTCTGAGCTTGTCCACTTCAATTTTCGGAATGGAGATGAAAGAGTTCGAGGATGGCATTCCTCTTTATGTTTGGGTCGCCACGTCAGCCGGGTTGCTGCTCGCCGCATATGCCATTCGATGGTTCCTTGGGAGTCGACTTTGGAGGATTGTCAGAGAAAACTGGATTTCCAACGTGGTAGTCATTTACCCAAAGTACCGAGGAGACGAGTCCAACATTCCCCACATCCGCCTACATCACCGCTATGCCATCATGGCGACTCTATGCGCTATCACGACTATTTATCCGCAACGTTCATTTAATTGTAATGTTTCTTTCAAGAAATTACTGGTATCAGAAAGAGCGTAAAGTGGTGATAATCATTCTCTGGGCCCTAGTACCCTTGATTCCATACCCGATCATCTGGATATGCCAATCACTTGGTCCAGATGGCAAACTTGCGTGGACTGTGTTTAGACTGACGATGGACTTGTACATTTGGATATGGATACCCCTAGGATTCTTATACCCGACAAGACTCTCAAAGGATGGAATTATTAGGATTATCTCGTTTACTATCGTTCCTGCCTTGTCATTCTTTGCTTCGATCGCACTCTTTACGCTGGGATGGAAACTACCAAGTCTTAGCATTGAAGCGCAAGCTGGTTGGACGGCTGCCGGGGCTGTGATGATTATGCTTAGTTTTAGTCTTTGGATACTTCGGATTGCTGTGAGGTTACCTTGAGGTACCTTACTATTAGCTTGAGATTGAAGGAAATGAGGGTAGATTTGCTAGTGGCCATATTTTGGCTACCTTTAATCAAATTTTTCTTTCAGGACATGGCTCAATGTGCCTACACACGCTTGTTTAGCCTTCCGTCAAGATTAACTCCATGGTTCCAACGATCGCATAAGCAGCCTCCACAACCATAGAGAGGATTATGGGGATATAATGCACAAATTCCGTCCACGAAAACATTTTTCTCTTCTTTTTTTCTTTTCCACTCTCCAAAAACAATGGGCCAAAAAAGCAGCTTGCCGTCCCGCTCGGCACGTCGACACAACGACAAACCACCGCGCGCAACTGTGACCATCAACAAACAAAAGTTTAACCGCGGAAGGACCTCAACCTCACCATCCGATTCCCCCTTTTCGCAACTACCAGTCGATATAATCCTCCTCCTTTGCAACGAGCATCTACCCCCCAACTCAGTTTTGGCCCTTTCCCTGACATGCAAAGGATTACGCGGCCTCATAACCCAAAAAGCGCAGACAAAACTCACCAAAGCGCTCTTCAAACCCTCAGACCGTGAAGCGTTTATGCTTCTTCTCGAGAAAGATCACGGACACGAGCTGTATTATTGTCACACCTGCCGTATTCTACATCGATTTTCCTCGAATTCGCAAGGATCAACTGTGGTTTCAAAACGCCGGTGTGACCGCTGTGCGTTGCGAGCGAAACGGGATGCTCTTACCATAAGATCGAGCCCACGCACCCAAAAGGATCTTAGCCTATAGGCTGTTGTGGAAGATAAAGCTAGGACCAAAAGAATCGTCTTGCTTTGAAGACTATTGATTGTGATTTTAAGGGTATTGAGTAAAGATTTCGTCAGGTATATATTCGTAGATTTATTTTGTTGTATCTTCTTGGCATTCTTCGGCTTTGCGCTCCAAAGAGACAGTCATCTGCTGCAAGGCAGTAACGACATCCCTCAACGCGACAGACATGGTCTGTTGCGAGAGAAAGACGGCCCTTGGAAAAGAGTAACCACAACAACGGTGGCGACAAAAAGTGTGGGGAAGCCTATAAAGGCCAAAATGTCGAATGAGAATGCCATAATGGTTGCTTTTATTATCAGAGAAGATTCAAAGCAGAATTTATATGTATGTGTCAAGAGACTAAGGCCTTAGATGGAGAAGAGAAGAAGAGAAGAGAAGAGAACTGGACCAAGACCTTTTAAATATCCAATCCATAATAAACAGTCCCTGCCTCTAAATTGGCTGGATGAAACTTGTCACTGGCAATTCCAGCGGATGATAATCCCAAAAAAACAGAAGGTCCCGACCTTGTCCCGTCGGAGGACATCCACAAAAAAGAAGGAGTCGCTACCCAGTTTCCTAGAACTTTGAGTAACCTTAGGTTGTGGACACTGCCACCTCCTTTTGGATTTTGAATTGGGCGGTTTTTCCAGCTGAAGCGCAAATGGTAAGGGGTGATAATGAGTCCGTTCCTTCTTGATTGTTGGCAATACCAACGGTAACACTG